AGAAATCGACAACGAAGTAAGTGTAGCACGTCGGTCGATTCTATTAATTCGTTCGGGAGTAATCTTTCTGTCTTATGTTTTTTAAGTGGAATTTCTTTGTTACTTCGATGAGCTCAGATTCTATAGGAGGATAATCTCACAAACACACATTTACATACATATATACCCTGACTCAATAACGATGACAGCGCTAATGAAGGGAGGAAGCTTGTGTTGCTCTTTGATGCGAGACGTATGTACATAAATACCGCCTCCAAATGTGCTTATTATAATTTTCTGAGTAAATTGTTATGTGTATGTGACTTCTTCTTTTTTGATTAGTGTTATTTCGTGTACATATATTTCCCGGAGAAATTAAGCAATATTCCCACTCTGAATGGAAATTGATGTAGGAGTGACAAAAACACTTTACTTACTTATGTATATATGTATTACAATAATTTTGAAACAAAAGACATGTAATGTAGGAAAATTCTCAGAAATTTGAAATCTATACACAAGTAGACGTTCTTCTACATGGCTGATTAGAGATAGAGTAGGTATGTACCGATGCCAACGCAGGAAAGTACTCTTTGACTGACGTTCTTGAGCTAAACGAGCAACAACTTGTAAACATATCTCCCAGGCAAATCTCGTAACTGGCTCCATCACTGTATTATCTGGGAGACTCTTGTTTTGAACTGCATCGGACTTGAGTACTTCACATCCCAATGTTACATAGGTGTTAGTACTCTCAAAACCACCCTTAATTTCTCTACGACTATATTGGTACCAGGTCCACCGATTAGTCGTTTTTGAGAATTGGATTAAAGCAAAGTGGTTTATAAAATGAAAATTAGATAAACTTCCTGCTCGTAAAAAGGTTCCAGGCAGGAAACGGCTATTCTAACTCTCATATGGATGTGGTGTGTCCCACGGTTTCCAGGAAGAAATAAGACGGAACCATAAACAAAAATCGTTATCGCTGAGGTTGTCACAATGGAAACCATAGGCCCTCCCCACAATAGAACGAAGAAAAAAAGAGATGCATGCGCGTTGTAGAATCCATAGCCGCGCAATAGAGGCGATAGGAATCCTAATATCCACACTAATCAGGATTCATTTTACAAAGGTAGCAGGACAGCAGTATAAGAGTTGGATGAAAGCGCTGATGGAAAAAAATGTTTGTCTCTCTGTTAGCTGTTTCAGTGCCAAGAGTGGGTTTTTTCTTAATTTTATTATAATTTCATCATTTATTTTTAGGAAAAAATTTAAAAATAAAAATGCCGAAAATGAAAAAAACTTTTTTTCCCAATTTTGTTTAAAAGAATTATTTTTCAGGCATTATGAGAAAAAACTTTTTAGTAAAAAAATAGTTTTTATATCTCATAAAGCAAACTTGATTTTCTGGCGAAAAATGATTCTCACAAAAAAATAGAAAAAACTATTTAAAATTTAAAAATAATTTTTTTGTGTATTTGTATTTTTTTTTTTTTTTGCTAAAAAAAATTATCAAAATAATTTTATTTAGAATGGATATTAACATTTTTTTTAGAAAAAAAATTTGGTTTAAAGGATTTTAGAAATAGAAAATTATTTAACTAAACATTAGAAAAACTCACAAAAAAAATAAATAAATGGTGGAGTAAATAGTTTTGAAAGAAAGAAAAAATATATGCATGTATATTTTTTTTTTAATTAAATTAAATAATAGTAATATTTGGCTTTGAAAAACCATTAATTTTGAAAAAGAAAAGACTGAAATTTTTTTAGAAAAAATTGCTTTCTTTGTTTAGAAATTTTTTTTTTACGAATTTTGGGAAAGAAAACAAAACTTTATCAATATTAAAAAAAAAAACAAAATTGAAAAAATTTATTTTTTTGGGATTTTTTTAGAAAAAAATAAAATTGCCTAATTTTTTTTTTAGGTATTTTACCATATTTAAAAAAAATATAAAAAAAAAAATATTTTGAACAAAAATCAATTTTTTATGGAAAAAAATTAATAAAAACTTTATAGGAAAAATTACTTTATTTTTACATTGGAATTTATTTTTCTAACTTTTTCACTCCAGATTTTGTTTATTTAGTCACCAATCAGTCACAATTTACAGTTCTTTGAATTGTTCGAATATAGGTTTATGGTACTGAAAGGGTTAGAGGAGAATCGAAGCCCATGCTGGTATCAGTTCCGATGAAGCCTCGAGATATGCATGTGCTACATAGAAGAGCACTTCTTAGCTAAACCAAAGGTTTCGCAATCGATGGGCGGGCAGACAAACTCTATGCGAGTGTGTAGATTTTTGAGATACAATCAACTGCGGCGGACAGCACCACGTAGTTATAATGAATTTTGATCTTCGGATCAAAGAAGCCGGTTCTATCTGTTAATAAGAAGTGGGCAGACTTATCGTGGGAGCAGCAATATCGGCCATTTTACGGCATAGATGAAATCGTAATTATGGTTTATCTTAAT